AGAAAAAATAATAGTGAAATTATCGGAGCCTATGCTCGCAGTGTCGCGACAAGGGACCGAATCGCGAAAAAGCACAATGGTCGGTGTCACGGCAGGTAAAGAACGACTTAAAGGCAGCGATTACGGCAGGTTCAAGAAGGGTTTAGAGGGACGTGGTGGTGCTCAATGGTACGCCAGTGGCGAAAAAAGCAGAAAAATCCGTCAAGAAAACGCAAAACGGGACCCCTTTTTTGGCCGTTGGTTTTCACTCATGAACAGGTACAGCTCAGAAAGTGGACGTATGAACGAGTTCACCGCAACGCGTTTGATGGCACCATGCCAAACCACGCTTTAATCGAGATGCTCCATTTGCGCCGCTGCTGGCCACGCAGCTCGTCCAAATCACAAGTAAACTAGTGGGCGGATCGCTTTTGGGGCGGAGTGCTTTCGAAGTCCTGCTCAGCAACCAGCGCACCTTTCGTTGTGAAAGCGCCACACCTCGCTTCCTTGGCAGCCAAGTAACTGATTCGTGTGGTGCATATGCTTCCCCGATGCGCTCCCTCTTTATCGTAATCGCTTCCTTTAAGGTCGGTCCGGGGAGGGAGAGAGGGTTGAAATGCCGAAATATAAATTTTTCACGCACATACCCCGCTAAATTAAGCTCATTATGAATAGGAGAGCCAAGAAAAAAGGATAAGGTGTACAGATTTGCTAATTGAACGAGTGGTCTCGTACGAATCCGATCCAAGCTGCAAGCCCTGCAAAAGAGCAGCCACAAACTGGCAGAGGTGAGGGCCACAAAATTTCCCCTCGTCGTTCAAAAAGAGTAGTACACGGCTCAGTTGGCTAACCGCAAATCCAGCAAATGCAGTGACACCCCATAGAAAGGTTTTCACTCAATATCCAACTGGTAACTGAAAACCTGGGGCCAAAGGTCCAAAGGTTGTGAAAGCCGAAGTCAGCAGTTGATCGCTAACGATATACTCACCCAAGTTAAGATGCCACTCCTAGAGCTCACAACCCACCCAGGGCAATCAAACCTTTCACCACGAAATCCCCCAACTGCACCTGTTTTTGTTTGAGGACAATATCCAGGCTTAATGGCCCACTCCGCAATAGATTTATAATGAGGCCAAGCTGCTGAAGGAGCTCCGGTGCCAGAAGCGATATGGAGCCGTGTTTCGGCTGGTGCGGGTTTACTAAACATTGCTGATCCCCGTCTCTGTGGGTAGTTCTGGGACCGGGTGCAGCAAGCCCCGGCGAGGGGATGGGTCCCAAAACTCTGCATCTCTGGACGCATTCCCCTATTCTTGATCACGAGGACTACGTCATCGACCGGAGTACAGACGCAGAGTTTTGGGGACCCATCCCCTGGCCGGGGCTTGCTGTACCCGGTCCCTGATCCCAGCGGACGTGAAGCTTACCTGCGGCCTCTCACCCATACGCCTCTCATCTCTTCACTGACTGTTCTCTCGTGCTAGAGCTTTTTCTCTGCACGTTGACCTACGCACCACCAGATACATACAGTAAGAACCAATTGCCTATGGGAGGGCCTTTATTTGACTTCCTTTCACTTTTTTAGAGAGAGAGAGGAAGAGGAACATCCCTTACAGTTCCCTTTTTGACTCCTTTTGAACACTGGTTCATCTTCCTCTCTCTCTCTTTCTCTTCTTTCCTCTCTCCCTCCCTCCTCTCCCTTCCCTCATGACGACAGTGCCTGTTAACGTCCGAACGTGGACTTGTTTTCCAAAATCCGACGAGAGAGCTACCTGGGTGACAGCCTGTGACCATGAAAAAGATAGCTATTGATCGGGTATTGGTGGAGGCTTTGAGTTTCGGCAACGTTGTTCTTCTCCCTCTTTCCTTCTCATTTTCTTTCACATTTTAGATTTGTTCATCCAGCTGACGTGCATTCAAGATCATTTTTACAGAACTGAGGCAGTGGAAAGAAGTCGAAGGACTGAATGGAAACAAAGAAATTGGAAATGAAATTGGAATGAACGGAATTGGATGAAAACGAGCAACGAGGAACGGGAATGAAGGAATGAAGGCGAGTAATCAGAGAACAAACCGCGGCTGCCATGGTGAGTGCGGCGGCGTTGATGCCTACTTGGTCCCGGAAAGTCTGCGCCGCTTCAGGGCATGTGCAGTTTGGGATTGGTGTTGGCTGAGTGACGATTCCTAAACATAGACGAAATGACTTGGTGGAATGATGAGCTGTGAGCGGTCTGCGATGGCTTACCGGCTTCTTCTGCTGCTGAACTCTTTGCCACAGCCGGGTATCGTGCACATGTGCATCTCCTTGAGGTGAACGGCACTGGTGTGAATCTTTAGCGCTCCTTTGTCACAAAACGACTTGTTGCACCGCTCACACAGAACACGTTTCTTCATTTTGCTGCTGCTTAGCGGGGACTGAAAGGGGGTCATTTGAGCGTTATTATCAAGAACCACTCAAATAACATGGTGTTCAAGGGTGATGTACTGGTAAGTGGCGCCGCTTCCCACAAGGATGGTGCGGGATCGAACCACGCCCGGTTAAACCAAGCCGTTCATCCCGGGTGGATTCATTTCGTGACGCTTCACTTTTCAAAAGCGGAACTTGGGAATAATAACGCATAATATTGGGGCGTAATGTCAGCTAGTATCGTAGATAGTGGAGTAAAGTTAATCAAATTGGAGCGCAAAAGCCCAAAAGGGTGGTAGTTAGTTCTCTCGACTTTTGTGGAATGCGCCATGCATACGCTTTCCGTTCGGAATCACAAATGCATTTGGATGAGCAACCGGGCCAAGCAAAAAAGGTAATCCACTTAGAGTTAAAATCAGATTCCCGTCCTCCTATCGTCCCAGGCAGGTTTGCTATCTTCAACTAAGCCGATAGAGATGTAAGGTAAAGGTGTCTTGGAACTCAATCTGTCACTGTACGACCAGGAGCTACAGCTCCTACGACTGTCCTTCCGGACCATCGCCCTTTGGAGGGGAAAATTGCCTTTTTGAGGGATCAGGGCAACCTCGGCTTCATAACCAATATTCTACTTACCTCACTTAGAATGCTCGACTCTGCCGAATCGGGCCGTGAAATCGCTTCACCGGTTGTCCGTTGCATTGGAGATGT